GTCTGTTCCTGCTTGTCTAAAAGGCAGATGTCTGTCCCCAAGTAATGGGGGTATGTGTCGTGGAACTGAAGTGTGACTTGAAAGAGCACCAAAGGAGTTTTGCATTAATTAAGTCTTCATCATCCTAATAATGAGTTTTCCAAACTGGATCTTTGACATTAAATTATACTACATCGTTCTAAAAATATCAGGATTGGATAAACACAATAACAATTTTATTGATAAAAGGAACCAGTTATTTGGGGTTTCATATACATAAGTCACTGTTTGGCCACTGAAATATATTGCTTCTGACCAAATATAATAAAGAGCCTCAGCCATTTCATTCCACTGTGGACGAACTTCAATTACTATGATAATATCCACCTGGCACTAGCATTGTAATAGGTTCTTTATATATTTTAGCCTATAAAATACATATATTTTAAATATGAGAAGTCCAAAACTCAAAGTAAAATATTATAGTTCAACCTGTCATCTGTCTAACCTCAATACCCAAGTTTTTCTGCTACCTGTCATGTCCTCGGCATTGCTTGAGTTGAGTCACACAGTTGAAGCTCAGTGAATCAGATGCAAACAAAACATTTGTACATTAGCTGCTGTGGACTTTAGATGTGTGGCTTTTGGAGAAGATCTGAAATGATCCCAAACATGAGCAATGTATTAAAGTCTTTGAAGGATAGAGGCTTGGGCAAATGGATTAATGAGTGACATGTTGACAAAGATAATTTGTATTTAATGTCTAGGACAATGCTGTACATGCCACCATATCCTGCACAACTGGCCGCTGCCTCTAACCACCTCGCGTTCATGGAAGGATCTGGCCTGGGGCGCTTGTTCAGCAACCCTCTGCTCAGGCCACCTGGCTCCTTTTCAAAATGTTTCCTATGTCTCAGCCTCCAACTCAACTCCGCATCCTGGAAAAGTCTGTGTCTCATTCCAGCACAGGGCTGTGATTTATTTTTGGTGGGTAAAGGAAGAATTAGTCATACCTACTCTTCTGTTTGAGTCTAATGGGAGCATTGTGACTGGTGGCAAAGATGGTAGTTTATCAGGCTGGTGATTTGTAGAGTTTATGGAGTGGGCTTCCTCACTCCTCTGAATTTCCTTTCCCCCTGTGAGCCACTCTACAATAATAATGAAGAGGTGAGGTCCAATGCCTGACAGTGGACCTCCTTGTATTGGTTGTCAGCATTGCAATAATTCCATATTGTGAAAGGAAAGATGATGTCATCTCCTTGACAGTTGAAAACAAAGGGGGACAAATAAAAATGGCCAGGGCCACCCAAAGAACTGCCAATCAATACTATTGGCAATGAAGAGGAAAGCATTCTTTCTCTGAATCATAAAGCATGACTGAGCTAAGCAGTATTGACCTTGGAGTAGGTCATTTCTTAGGATTTAATGAATGGCTAAGAAGCTGATGGACCTTTAGTCAGACTGGTTATTAACTGCCTGAAAGTGTCTGACCCTGGAAACCATAATTGCTGCTACAGATACAAGCACATAAGAAAGCCCAAGTCTGGCTTAGACAATATGCTATTGTAAGCAAGTCCCAGTGGAGGACCATCATATTGACCTTACAGAGCAGCCTGAGTGTCCCCCGCCACAGAACTGCATACCATTCTCAAAGGAGACCATTTCATGAAGAGCCAATGCTAGGAATAAATGCCAGAAATAAAAACAGATGGTATTTGCCAGTCTTAGAGAATAGAATATCATACTCTGTAGATACAGCAACATACTTCAAAGCTGATGGGTTGAATTGATATCACTGTGATTACCAGGGCCAGCACTGTTCATCAAAAAATATAAGGTGAGCCACATATATAATATATAATTTTCTACTAGCCACATTGAAAAAGTGGTTGAATTTTAATAATATATTTTACTTAACCCAACAGATAGAAGATATTATCATTCTACATGTACTCAATAAAAAATTATTCATGAGATATTTTAGGTTTATTTTTATACAAAGTTTTTCACAATCCAGTGTGTATTTCACACTTACAATACATCTCAATTCAGACTAACCACATTCCAAGTGCCCAAAAGCCACATGTGGTTAGTGGCTATCATTTTGGACATTACAAGCATAAGGAATTGTTTTGATAAAAGTTATGCATTGGAATGTTCAAATGGATAAAACAGCCAAAATAATGGGGTGCATTACCCATAACAACCAGCAAAGTGCTAACTTAAAGAGAATTGCTAAATACGTTTGCATTATATATTTAAGAATGCAGAGAAGAATTAATAAATGGTATTTGAGTTTGCAAAGAGTTTTCTCAGACAATGACTAACTTTTGCTGGTTTGTTTGTTTGTTTGTTTGTTTGTTTGTTTGTTTGTTCTGCAGTGCTACACTGATTTAGTTTTGCTTGCAGATATGTTTCTGAATTTTAGGGGTCAGGAGACTATGGAATGGATTTGCAAGGGAGGCAATATAGCATAGCAGAGATACTCTTTGGAAACAACCTGGGCTTTGGGAACAGACAGACCTAAATCTGCCTCTTTCCCATTAGCTGAACTAGGGCTTTACTTTTGGGGGTGTTGAGTCTTCTGATCTCTGTGGTGTGGATGAAACGCTCACCCGCTTCCTGTTGCTCTTGCTGTGGGACTTGCCGTGGTGATCCTGACAAGCCTGGATACTGGTACTCTCATCCCTGCCTGCAACAGCATCAGCAAGTTGTGGGAAAGGCATCCACTAATGTGACTCCATAACCAGGTCTTGGGAACACTGGGCTCGCCCAAGCATTTCTTAGGGAAAAGTTGGGAAGATTGTTTCAGTGGTGTAATGGCAGAGTTGCCAGACGGCAGGGCAGATTAATGTCATAGGGGGTGTGGTGTCTGGCGGAGTGTGGCTGTGAGTGGAGATAGATGAGTCCAAGAAAAGAGTGGCCGAGTGGAGGAAGGGGTGGGTGCGGGGTCAAGGATCATCAGGAATTAAGCAGGTTGTCAGCGGATGGGACAGAATCATAAAGGAAAAAGCAGCCTTTTGAAGCAAGTCAGGAAGGAAAACCAGGAGTCAAGAATGTAGAAGGTGGCGAGATTAGTCCACAGTAAGGGATTCAAACTTCAAAAACTTTGAAAGATAAATTGCATATTCCTAAAGAGTGAGATCAAGTTTCTTTCTTTTTGTTGTTTCTTTAAGCATTCCCTGCACACAGCAAATGCTCAGTTAGAGTTTTGCGAATAACTGACTGGCAGGCTGGCTCTCTGGTGGGGAAAGCTTGTGTTCCAGAGCTTGGGCAGCCCAACCCGTCTTTAAGGAGTAGCATCCTTAATGTACACAGGGGTCATCCTGACTCAGGAAGAGGGGGTCTGTCACACTCCTGGCAGTGAACAGTGAACAGGGAAAGGGGGTGAGGAGAGGGAAGGAGAGTGAGAGAGAAGGCCAATAGCTTCCTCTCATCTTTAAATTGTCTTGATTATTGTTAAGGTAAGAGGCAATAAGGGGGCCCCTGCCTTCACCCCAGACTTTCTGAGTGCTTCTTGATTTCTTATACCTACTGGTCTTGGTCTTTAGATGTAGCCCCCTGGCATACACATAATATATAAAATAATTTGTTTAAGAGTAAATGTACATGAATAACATGTAGACACCTTTTAAGAGAAAGAAGAACATTGGTGTTGATTTTTCAGGACTGATGTAAATGATTTTTAGGAAAATATCTAGCAAACAAGTAGAAAAATGAAACTATCAAAACCAGGTAAATTTACAAGTAATACACAAAAATATTTTGGAAACCAATAACAATGAGTAAGGATGAAAGAGGATGCTTTCCTGAAACTAATTGAGTTTAATAATCAAAAAAACGTAACCCAAAATCTAGTTCAATGATTTATTCATTTATGCACTTATTCATTCTTTCAAAAAATTATGATCAATTTAGTATGTACCAGTCACTGCTAATGAAATAGGGAAAGCCTTCACTTTCATTTTCACAGAATTTACATTTTTGTACAAAGAGCCATTCAATACACAAGCAAAAAAATAGATAATAGGTTCAAATCAAGAAGTGAAGTTGCTACAGAGAAATTCTCCCAGGGCAATAAGATAGTGATCGGATCATGGGGCGGGGTCGTGGCTGGCTGTGGCAGAGGTGGCTTGATTTGGGAGGGGCTGATTAGGAAATGCTGCCTGGACTGATGGGAAGGATAGGATGGGCTCAGTCTTGAGCAGGATGGGGACAAGCATTCCAGGCAGATGGGACAGGATGTGCACCTATACTGTAATTTTAATAATGCAGAATTCCAACATTCATATAAGGTTGTTATATAACCATTATAAATAATGTTAAGATCTCATTTCCTAAGTTGGGTTAATCAGATCTCAGATCTAACTATACTCTGCCCATAAGAAATTCTTGAAGGCCAGTTTCAAAAAGTTATCTCATGAGAATTCCATGATGCTATCATGTACCCATGAAGATCAAGTTGGTCCTGCTTCTCTGCAGAAAACAACTCTATTGTGGCAGATCTCATGCTTATCCTATCCGGTGGCTTTCTCTCCTGGGGTAAGCCTGTGAAATTCCAGCTCCCTGACTTTTCTTACTAATGTTTCAAGATGACCACCCTTCTCTGTTGTTATAATGTCTTTCCAAATAGAGTCAAAGGCCATTGTGTAGGTTCCTACTCACCCCTTTCCAATCTTAGTCCAATGTTGCCTTCTTGATATCACAACCAAGGTATCCTAATAATGTTTGAGAAGTTCCCAAGCTCTTTGTCCCAGTTTTTGTAGAAAAGCTTCTGGTTCTCTCCCATGTAAGGCTAATTCATACATGCCAGTGTCATCAATAGTTTAGATCTCAAAATCAACTTTCTTTTTCTTTTCTTTTTTTATGTTGCCTGTGTGAACCACTGCCTTGAGTAAAACATAGTTCTTGTACTATGTGCTAATGACTGAAATTCTGATGAGATTAAAGAGCACAAGATAGAGCCAGTAACTGTTTCTCACTGTGCACGTATGAAGCTTGCATTCTTTTTGCATGTTTTCAGGTTCAACAACAAGACCTATTGCTATTTTTGACGTTCAGAAATTCAATAAAGAACTGTTGACATTTGAAGGTCTCATTCAAGGTAGGTCGGCTTGCCAGCACTGTTTTTCAACTGTGTCAGAAGTCTGGAGGTTTTGCTTGAAGGCTTCTTTAAGAACAGTCTCTTCTGTCCAGATTTGCTGTTAAACAGCACTTGCTTAGACTTGTTTCTATCCGCAAGTTTCCACACACCTAGTTTATTGAGACTGTATGTCAGAGAACACCAGTTTAAAGCTGGTAGACAAGACTGATTTCAGGTTCTTGTTACCAGTAATCCTGTCTTTACATTTATTGTTAAACTCAAAGATAATATCTAAGGATGTAGATGAAAAACATACCCTGTGGACAGCACTGAATAATGATGATTTTCATTTTATCAAATGTTTATTATGTTTCAGACACAGTGCTAAACTCTTTTTCATCTATTACCTCATTTAGGTTTCACAGTAACCTTATAAGAAATATCATTATCCCCATTTCACAGAAGGGAACATGAGGTTCAAATTGCTAAGAGGCATTTCAGATTCATACAGTTTGTAAGTGGCAAAGGCAGGATTCAAACCCAGAAAAGACAAACTCCAGGGTCTATATTCTTGTCAATATGCCAGACCCAGGTTATAAACCAGCAGTGACATTCTAAATAGTTTCTGAAAGAACTCTGGGTAAAGATAAGTCAATAAAAATAAATCTACCCTAGAATAAATAATAGAAAAGTTAGAAAATGTTATCTTTTTTCAGTACTGGAAGCCTAAATAGTGTCTGAAATAATTTGGGGTAAGAGATAGATTAATAAAAATGTATATATACTAGAAGAAATAATAGAAACAATAGAAAATGTTCTCTGTTTTCTTTTACTATTAAAAAAATGGAAAAGGGAGAGAGCAGGGTGAGCAGTAATGAGAACCGCAGAGGGAGAGCTGGGGCAGAGATGGTCACAGAGGACATTGATGCCATCCAGAGAAGAAAACAATGACTCATTGTGCTTATGCTAAGAAAGCACAAGAGGACAGGTCTTGCACTTTGCAAATGGTCCCAGTGTACCATAGCTTACATTATCGCCAGAATGATTTAAGAGCAACCTACGCTTAGAGGTTCTTTTGGTGGCAACTCCATAATCTGCTCAGTGTCCAACAAGACTCTTTCCAGTCACCCAATAAACAATTTCAAGATATAGCTGTGATGGTTAATTTTATGTCATGGGCAATTTATTGTAACCTGCTTTTATTTCATGGGTGCTTTCCAAGTTTTGCTTGTTAACGATGAAGGGACAAATGCTTCCTATCAGACCAAGAGGAGAAGAGATGGAGCATAAACAGAATCCAAACTAAAAATACAAAACCATCCCTTGAGATAAAATATTTATAATTCATGCACTTGAAAAATCCCATTTTATTAGTGCACTATTTCTGATAATTATTAAAGATCTTTAAAAGGATGTATCAGACTCCCTTTGGGCTGTTCTTCATTTTTTTCCCACCTTTGTACAGAGGTCATTATTACAGCAACCAGCTAGGTGCAGGGTTAACCTATTAGCAATTTGTCTCAGTGCCACCATGTGTCTTGTATTTATTTATTTGTTTGTTTATTGCCCGAGATTACTGCATAGATTGGCTGCAGAGAACCATTCCACCATCCTAACCTACATGCTTGCCCAGAAGTGTGTAGAGTCAGAATACCACTGGGCAGTCACTGACCAGTGAAGTACAAGGACTGATGGATAACTGACCCCTCTTCTGTCTAACTGGAGGGCAATTTTGAAGTACATTTATTCTCTTGCCTCACTGAAGTTTCCCTGCTGGGCTCAAGCCCTGGCCACCCTTACTCACAGTCAGCTTGATCACACATTCTTGGATTGGCGGTTCCTTTTCCCACTTCCCTGCTCCTCCTCTCTCAGTTCCCCTCCAAAACAAGCTACTTGTACCCAAGAGCCTGCCTCAAGCTTTCCTTTGTAGGGCAACCTAGGCTAAGAGAAGGTTATTACCATGTTTTATCATTGAAGCATCCCATCTGTTTAGTTTCTCTTAAAAATGTTGGACAATACATATTTTAAGTAATGTCTTAAAACTTTTTTTATTGGAAGTATATTCAAAATACTTCCTAACCTTTACATAAGTTAATCTCTTTCAGGGTATGATAAAATCAGACTTGGCAACCACTGGCCTAGAAAGAATAGCATGAAATTTTGGCCTGTATGTGGTTTAATAGTTTATGTCTCCACATTTTGTGGATTGTGAAATTCCTTACTGGTGTGTGCAACATATTTACCCCTGCTTAGGACTTAGTTTACTTCTAAAATACTCATAAAATGTGACATTTTAAATCTTTTAAAGGAAACACATTTAAATTTCTTGATTTGACAGGTGGCATCTCCAGAAATAGAGTTCAAGAAAAACTCATCAGAACACCTTAATACATGCATTATGTCACCTGTCTCCAAAATATGCCGAAGAAGATCAGAGATGGGCATAGTAAAACCTTATTTTTTAGAAGAATCTTACAAGAGGTAGGTTGAAATTGTGAATATTCCAGCCACATCCCCTAGAGATTCTGAGTTAACAGGTTAAGGATGAATCCAGGAACAGGCAGCTTAAATCAACTTTCAGTGAATCCTGAAGCAGATGATCCTTGGACAACAATTTAGGAAATGCCATTTATAGAACATTCAAATTTCAGAAGTGGAAGTTCATCTTGTGGCTAACTTCAATCTGCAGATTAAAAAGATGATCCCAGCAGCACTCTTTCATTTCTTTGTTCTTATTGACCATATCACTTAGGCCATGACTAAGAAAAAAAATTCTAAGCATTCAAACATAGGAAATTTAATGCAGTTCTTTGGTTATAGAAGTAATGAAAGATCTCAGAAGCCAAATGGGGAGCAATGAGGCAACTCAGGAATTAGCAACATGGTATGTCATTTCCATCTGCAGGTGATCCTGAGAAAGAAGGGAAGATATGGTGTTCCCATATTCCTAGCACTGAGTTCATCCTAAAGAACAGGTGACCACAGTGGTCGTACAACAGGAAGCTGTACAATGGAGGGGACACCATTGCTATGGGAGACCCATCTAAGCTGGTAAAAGGGAGAGAAAAATTCCCTGGCATTTCTTTCTCTCCCCTTGTCAGTGCTTCCCATTGGCCGAACCCATCAGGAAAGCAACAGACAAGGGTCTGAGAGATGCAGTCCACTGATGTCATCTCCTCCCAGCTATCCATGGTTCAAGGCAGAGCAGAGGAAAGGCGAGGGATGGTGTGTAACAAGCAGATCTAAAACATCACAAGTTCATACATCTAAATCCATAGCACCATACAAATTTATGCTAGGTTTATGGGCATCCACTTTTTTTTTTTCCTACATTGCACTGAGTGTCCTTGGAAACTGAATCTGTACAGACTCTGTGAAGCCTTACCAATGCTCACTTGACTTAACCCAAACAGACCACACTTTGCTTGCTTTACATGGGTTGTTATCTCATTGATTAAAATAGTTTCTTTGTTTTATTAACAATGAGTACTCTGTGAATATTTTGCAGGATGTAAAACAACTTCATGCTATAATAATGCATTGAGTGGAAACCTCCTAAAAGGAAGTTCCTACAAAGTATATCTAATTATATTACAATAATTCAAAGAAAAACACTAATTCTGTGACTAAAAGTGCATGAGGGTAAATGAAATTTAGAAACATTAGGTAAAAAAAATTAAGCAAGTTGTTTATTGCCATTAATATTCTAATATGGATTAAAATCACCAAGAGAGAGATCCAAAATATGATATCTTCAAAGTTATGTAACCATTTATTAGATAGATATTTATTGATCAACTATTCTATGCCTGAAACTTTTTGAGGTACTGGAGATACAATAATAAACACAGGAGACAAAATTTTTGACCTTGTGGAGAACAGATTCTAGTGGAAAAAGTAAAAAAAATCAAACAAGTAAATACATCATATCAATTTTTTACATACTCTTCCTCAAATTACTATTCAGTGATTGTACTTTGAGTAACGCTATGATGCATTCAATTCTATTGTTAAGCTCCTACTAGTTCATCAGATTCCAATCCTTCTTCTACCCAGAATTGTCTTTTTTCTTTTCTAAAGTGGAAATAATGAGATGGTTAAATGTGCTGACTCTGGGGTCAGGCCATCCCTCTTCAAATTGGCTCTGACCTTCCCTGGGAGTATTATCTGTGTGCCTCATTCACTCATTCATTCAACATACATTCATCATGCTAGAAATGCTAGAAACTCAGGACCCACCTGTGAACCAATGAAGATCCTGCCCTCAAGAAACTTCTGTTAAAGAGTCAATTTCTTTACTGGAAAATGAGGATATTAATAACATCCGCCTCATCAGATTGTCATGAGAATTAAATGACTTCATTCACATGAAGCAGTTAGAACACCTTCTGGCACATCCTAAGAGCTTAATAAATGTTAGCCTTTATCCATCTTGTTATCCCCCAGTTTAAAATCCTTCAATGAGTCACTTCTGCCTTCAGGGAAAATTCCAAACTGCTTAGCACCATAGACAGAAGCCTTCCAAGATCTGACTCCTGATCTAGCACCTTTCACCATCCCCTGCACACTCCTTCACCTCGAGTCAGAATTATTCAAGGCACCCATCAGGTGTGATACTTCACATCTTGTGGCTCGGTCCATCCTGTCCTCTCTGCACTGGGTCCTCTCCTTCGTGAGTGCCTTCTTTCTCCTCCAGAGTTAGCTTAAGTTGCCTCCTCTATGAAGACTCTTGTGCTGGCTCCTCTGTGCCTGTCCATAACCCCAGCCGGTCACACTGACCCTTTTGCCACCAGGCCATTCATACCTGACTCTATTGGAGACCTCTCATAAGTCATTTTACTTAATGACTTGTCTCTGACACTGCCACAGTGTGTTACAGCGACAAACAAGGGCACATTAAACATGGCAGGACAGCCCTATGAAACAAGTGTTTTAGACCCTGGGGGCTGAAAGAAAGGTTGAAGGAGATGAAACTGCAGGTGGAGAGGAACTTCCAAAAACTAATGGTAGAATTCAGCTCATGTGTCTACTTCCCATCCTTCCCAAATTCACACATAAATGACAGTGAACACGCTTTAAAAATATAGGATAAACATTTGTGCTGAAAATTGACGTGGATATTGTTAGTGGATCCAAAATAGTGAGCTGTTTCTTAATAGTGGAAAGTAGAAGAGGGTGAATGGAAAGACAAAGTAGAACAATCCGCAGCTCCAAGCGCCCACAGGCAAAGGCCACTGCAGAGAGAAAAGCTACCCTTCCCTTTGGAAGTCCGGGAACACCAAACTGGGGTTAGCAGGTGCACACAGAGGATGTGGGCTGGAGGCAACTATCCAAGTTCAGGGTTAAAGGACTGTTTCCAGATGAGCAAGGTAAGGCATCCACTCTCCATCATCAACATATAGAGAGCAGCTGGCTGCAGCATTTGCTCATGAGATAGAATTCTGTGAACTCTTTTCTAAATGAATAGATATGTAATCTTAGAGAGGGCTCCTAGTATAAGTGTTGAGGTCTGAGAGAGAATCCTGAAAGAGCTTGAGGTAATTGAAGACCTTGAAAGGGTATCTAGATGAAATTAAAATAAGATCTGGATACCCGGGAGAGACACACATTAAATGTTCCCACCTGAGAATACTCAGGCCATTTGCTTGCTCCCATGCTGCCTGCCTAACCCCCTTGTTAACTGAAGGAAATGATGAGGTTCATAAATTTGGGAAGGAGAGCTTTATTGCTCATAAAGTGTTGTGGCCTGTGTGTGGGTGGCCATTCTAACAGGCTGGGAAGCACAGCCCAGGCCAGAAGCTAGGAACAGGTGCTTCAAGGGACAGACAATGGGAATAGGAAATTATGCTGAGCAGGGTGGCCAAATATACATATTTAGCTAGCTATAGGAGGAGTCATGAATATTTATGAAAGGAGAAACATGCACACTTGCAAACAAGCTTTATGCCCCTTCTGGGGTCCATGTTCAGAACATGGGGGCCATCTGATGTCAAAAGGTAAAGCAAGGACATGAAAACCCTCTCTGTGCATGCTCTGTAAACTGGCTAAATCACTTCAAAGTGGTTGGTGGTCTCTCATCAGGAAAGAATGCTGGTTTAATGCTGGTTGTAAAGCTGAAACTGCAAATGCAGAAGTAGATCATGATATTGGTTTGTGTTTAGCCCTTAAAGAAAGAAAGCTTGATGGTGTGAACTAAAATAAAATCTTAAACTCCCCCCAGGTGAATGAATGGACCCCCTCTCAGCCAAGAGGACCCCAGAAATACCCCAAAGCTGAGTTGCTAGACATGAGGAGGGAGGTCAGACATGCCTCCTCATGCCCCCTCCCTTCTTGGAGATATCCTTTGTAACTCATTAGCTGGCCTAAGGCTATGCAAGACTGACAAACCTACAGGTCCTCAATTTACATAACAAATCACTTGTGTCTGGGTATGTGGTCCCTGGGCTTGTCCCTATATGAACAGACTTCCTTATCTTAACTTAAAACATTTCAAGCCTTTAGACAAAGCTTCATTTCTTTAACCAATTACAAATCAGAGTCTTTAAACCCACCTATAACCTGTAAGCCGCTGCACCTTTGGGATGTCCCACCTTTTCAGGCCAAAGCAATGTGTGCCTGGCATGTATTGGTTTATGACTTGACCTGTAATTCCTGTCTCCCTGAAATGTATAAAACCAAACTGTAACCCAACCATAGCAAGTCCACTTGTCGAAGGCTTCTTGGTTATGGCTCTGGGCTGTGGTCCTCAAATTTGGCTCAGAATAAACCTCTTTAAATTATTTTACAGAGTTTGGCTCCTTTTTTGTTGACAATAGCCATTAGCAAGGGAAGGAGTATGATGAGGATGTCAGACCTTCAAACCTATCATGGCTGCAAACTCAATTTTAAGGTTTCTCTGGGGTCCCCTTGGCCAAGAGGGGGTCTGTTGAGTCAGCAGGGGCCTTTAGCTTTTATTTAGTTCATACCCTGTCCATGCACAAAACAGGGAATATCCTTGTCTGACAGGTGCAATTAAACTCTGCAAAGCATGCAGTTATTTAATCTATTCAGGGGAGAGGCCCATTTAGGAGACATGATTGGGGCGGGGGGCGGGGGAAGCCACACTCCTTCCAGCACACTAATCAAGCTATATTCTTTATTTATAAATATATTCAGATAGTCAAAGTCACAAAGCATTTGAAGAAAACCAAGAGAATATTTTAGATAAATATTCTCTTGAATATTTATCTAAATTTATCTGAATATTTTAGATAAATAAAAAGAATAATGGCCCTTAGAAAAGAACTAAACATCAACAACAAGGATCTAATTAGTATCCAAAAAAAGATTTAAGAGGCCATCTCAACCACATAAGAAGAACAGAGTGTTATGAAAGAGAGAATAAGGAAATAAGAAAAAGCTATTAAGAAAACATTAAAAATATGATTACAAAAACATAGCAAAATAACAAAATAGTAGAAACTGCCAGAAACCAAATTATC